GACAGAAAGGTAACCACAGCATCCATGGAGAGTACAGTTGGAATCAATTTATAGCGAAAAACAGGACCAAGGAACTACAAGTTACGCTATAATATCCACTAACACCACCAGTTACTTTACAATCAGCTCATGCGATAACATTGCACGGCACTGACCGACGGTACTGACGTTCTCCAATTAACTGGCTAACAGCTCTAGCGCGTCAGTTACTACCAGTGTGGTATTACCAGCCTCTTATCCAAAGTGCCCTTCAATAAATCTCCGCTACACGTGCATATTCTCAATCCTGATCTCAGCCGGAATCACCAGCGTGAACCTACCACTATATTCCTCCCTATTAGAATGACACTTTGCAGGTGTTGGGAAACTATTCCTCCAGGAAGGATGCAGAAGTCTCCGCAAGGAAGTTGATAGAAACTTCTGTGCCAAAAAATGGTTTTACCTTGCCCGGCGGCCCACATCAAACTTGTCCTTCCCTCATCGTCCGGTGTGTCTTGCACGTGATCGAAAGTCAAGAATGTTGCGACGGTCGTCTGTGCATGGTGTTGTGGCCATGGGCATCGATAGGCACACAAACGGATGTTTACATGCGCGCGCACACACACACACACACACACACACACACACACACACACATACATGCAGATATACACACACATACACACACACACACACACACATACACACACACACACACACACACACACACACACATGCAGATACACACACACACGTAAAATACACACACACAGACTTACACTGAATACTAATACGTAAACACAAAGACACATAAACACAACATACACGTATATGTCTCGAACTCGACATCCGTCTATCATTTTTCAGTACAGCCAGGAGTGTACTGAAGACGCACAATCAAATGAGGCAATGTCCACTCATACCTCACAGTGCATTTCAATTTTGACCCATCAATGAACTAAGGTGTATTGCATTGTCAGGAACTGGTCACATTTGCAGATTCTTGTCTGCTCTCTTTAAACATGAATCAGATTTCTATTCCAGAGCTACGAGCGTCTCTGGCACATCACCACAAAAGGAAGGAAACGTTTTAAACGAAACAATTGCCCAAAACTAATACGCAACGATCACACACAATGGACTTACTGCAAAGTTGTTTTGCGCCTGGATAAGGCCGATTCCCATCAACAGACAACAAATTCATGAACAGAGACGGCAGAAAGCAAAAAAAGCAATACTTAATAATGAGTAGGAGGTGACATAATTGATGGTCTTAATAGAAAATCTTCTACTAATAGTCTCTATCCCCACATGTACCCCAAACTTTGGGAGTACACACTTGGACAGACAAGCAAGCAACCTGACACCATTGCATGACGATGCATGCCATCTCATGGATGTTGTATAAAGCACCAACTGCACAAATCCCCCCCCCCCTCCCACACACCTCAGACCTCAGACTTGCCCATCGCGGAAGCGATGATAGCGAACAGCTATGTTAGACATAGCAACTTGTGCTGGGATTACACCATTCAACAGCTTGCAAGGCTGATGAATTGACCGCCACTATTTTTAGCCTGGTATCCACCACACAGCTGATTGAAGTGACTTTTTCTGGCCAGTGACCCCCCACCCCACACACACATACACACACATACACACACACACACACACACACACACACACACACACACACACACACACACACACACACACACACACACATACTTTTACGCAGTAGAACAAGGCTAGTTCCTTGTAAATTGAGTTTCATGCTCCGTGCAATCATCAAAGAACATGACGTTCCATCGCTAGACTTACAGCATAGTGCAGCGGTGTTGCGCCAGTGGAGTCTGCCGCCGATGGGTCAGCACCGCGGTCCAACAGCAAACCAGCAATGTCCGAATGTCCTGCGAACGTGTCAACAGCATACAAGGGAGAATCCATGCCTGTATTCAACATTTGTGGAAGGTAACTTTTTCAAAACAGTCTACAATAGAGTGGTTTCACATCTATCACATGATCATACGGAACACCCATGTTGGTTCCCACTTCCAACACCATTGAATCCCTGCATGCATGGGACACATGATGTCAGCCATGTGGGTTCCACTGTACACATGCCATGATCACTTTCTACACAGATTCGGTCACATGACAAACTGATGTGAACACCACTGTATACGTACAAGCAACACCAACGCCTGCACTGATCACTGTTATACATGTACATACTCGTGGAAATGGGTGCATGGAACTTTCGCAAGGACCGTAGCAGTGGTGGTGGTGGTGGTGGCATGCTCAGCTAAGACATGAGTTGGTTTAAGATTTCAAATTTGGAATATAGGGCTTGAAAGTGATGACGTCAAAAACGGTCAGGGAGTAGTAAGTTGACATCAGATTTCTATTTTGGATCCACTAAGGTGTGACTTTGCTATTGCCTCAGTATGTGGGTGCATAGCAACCCACTCATGTCATATGCAGGGGTGACTTTTACTTCGCCACCAGTTGTAACCCCGCCCCCAGTAGCCAAATCAGTCAGTTTCACTGACTACAGTCCATTTCAAAACTATAGACGCGTACCTAGGCAAAACCCGTTATGCCAGCATCTATACCACATAAAATCTGTGATCACTTTGTGCATAAAATTTTCCAAATTGGGCGTCTGTTATCCAATCCTTTAGAAACTATATGAGAGTAATTGTGGAGCGATCCTGAGCAATATTCCGAAAACTATTCTCAAAAAGTTCCAGCCAAATTTGAAATATTTCAAAAACCCTACGCGTCTATAGTTTTGAAATGCACTGTACATCACCTTGCTGTGAGTAGGACGGCTTGAAATGAGCTTGGATCCATACAAAAACTGGATCCAAGTGGATCCAGTTTTTGAATTTTTGAAATTGTTGCTATGCTGTGACGTAGCACTTTCAAGCCCTATTAGGCCACCTAGAAATTATTCGTTGTTTCGGGTCACTTCACTCATCCGTACCAGGGTCGGTCGGGTTTATTTTTTATATATTTTTATTTTGGTTACATCGAATAGCTTTTGTCCAATAAGCCAGTCGATCAAATCTGACTGTAGTGTAGACAATCCAGCGCAGTCATTGTCCCATCAGATCCAGGTCCCCTCCAGGACCAGATCTTGGCCTCGCTGGCAAACGAGTCTGACCGGCGAGCAGCTCTCGCCTTGAAACTTTTGTAAATAGCGACAAGGTGGCGGAGCTGATGCTGTTTCAGGACCGATTGCGGATTGGAGATAGAAGACAACGTCGTCACCAAGCGCTGCATCCTGTCATCTGGCTAGCCATGACTGCTTCTGAGGTCGATATCTGGACTGCTATTATTAGGGTCGCGTGTGTACATAGTCTAGTCTGTACATTAGCATGCACTATAAAAATAAAAATATACATTTTGCGGTCGGGTTAAAAAAGACGGTCGGCCGGGTGACCCGAAACAACGAATTAATTCTGGATGGCCTTATCTCCCCTTTTTTTCAGCAGAGTAAAAGCTAATGATGCGCCACACACACACCATACCAGCGATGGTGTATGCTGATGCATATGCCATTGGCTACACTGGTGGAACAGCAAGGCACTTGGCATTTGGTGCGTGCTGGTTTTCTAACTAATGTTCTCTTTCCTGCGCCAGTTCAAACTGCAGAGTAGACTCTAGCCCAGCTAACCCCATGCCTTCTCCCAAACGACAGCCATCTCCCCGCTATTTCCTGTGGTATTGCGGTATCGTGTGGTGGTTTCAGTATTACAAAATTATCAGATCATGATATCAATTAATTTAGACTCGCCCGGAGTCGGCAGAAATACACAAACTGCCTGAGCTACACACAGGATTTACTGTTGGCAGGCTGGAGAGTGGGCTCTGTTATAGAAGAATAACGAGCTCAACCCCGGAGGATACGGCTTAGACAGTGTGTACAGTCAAGAAAGTATGATTGTAAGACTCACTCACCGAGCACCGCAGCCCAGTGCAGGGCAGTTCGAAACATCCGATCAGCTGCAGAAACCTTGCACTTGATGTTCGGCATAGATGTCTGCGGGACATAACCGGAGAAGCACACACATACACACACACACACACACACACACACACACACCCCCCCCCACACACACACACATGGACACACACACACACACATGGACACACACACACACACAAACACACATACACACCATCTCTGAACATCTAGCTGTCTTCACCTTGCTAGGTCTTATCAGCAGAGCTCAGAGTGACTGGTGAAATAACTTACTGCAGTTCGGAGGGAGGAACCCAGTGCTGAGTCCCGTCACGATGATTGGTCGCCACACCTGAAGTGAATTTGGACAATCTATCTACAGTAGAGAACTCCCCTTATCCGGGCAGGTTGGTACCTGGCACTCCCCTTATCCGGGCAGGTTGGTACCGGACACTTCCCTTATTTGGGCAGGTTGGGACAGCCCCCCCCCCCCCCCCCGGGCCCACTGACCAGGAAGGCTGGGACTGTGTGCTCCCCTTTTCCGGGCAGGTGTGGACCGGGCACTGCCCGTAACTCGAAGAGGAATTGTTACTGGTGTGTTGATAGTCACTCACCAGAGTGTCGACAATGATGTAGTTGCTCTCTGCCACAGCAAGATGAAGTGCTGAACAGCATACGCACATACACAAATGAACAAATGTGCATGTCAGTATGCATGCACTTGCACAAACATATAATTATGTATACACATGCACACATGCACGCACACAGGCACGGACACACACACACACACACACACATATCATGGAGATGCATGAAAACAATGCAGGCATCAACAGAACTCCAATATCAGTGGAGCCTCCAACACCTGGTCACCACTCTGCTATTTCCCCAAATGCTAACTTGTAGCACCCGATGACTGGAGGACTAGTGTAAAGAGTTGCCGAATCTATACATGCATTGCAAGTGCGTTTAGCATGTACACACCAGGGACATGTAGCATCTAAGGAGACAACATTATTATGTGAGTGGAACATGCGGGTGAAACAGTGCGTATGTTGCTCCAGGGCCGCCCGTTCCAGTTGCCCTCTTGGGACACGGCTGATCTATACTGTTCCTGTTTGTACTATTTTTATTTTTCACCTCGTCATGTCCCTTCCTCCCTCCCTCATAACAGCAAACGTTCACTTCCTTTCCCCAGGAGACTCCCTTCGATAGGCATCCATTTGCCTCTGGAGAATCCTTGAAAATATAATATCAATCAATCTACACGGCCACACATGACATAACTGGTCTGGCCGTGTCTGGAGTCGGCAGATCACGCCTGCGAAGAACCATCACGTGTTGCACAGACCACAGAGCCCATTTAACCTCCAAGATTGGGGTTGAAACCCGGATCTTTGTGATACTGCAAGTACTATGATCTCATGCTATGTCCCGAGATCCTGTGACTCGCTGATGTACATTGACAGTCATGCAGTATCCAATTTGAGTGGAGTTTTCTCAAACCAACAGAGAGGTCATTCACATCTTCGTGAAGAGTCAAAGACTGCGGCATTTCAAACTTGAAACACATGATGTCACACTCTCCTTACTTGTGCGGCCTTCTGTGTCTGCAATGTTGATGATGGCTGGGAAATGCTCCTAGCAGAGGAAAAGAGCAGCGATGGAGAGTACAGCGTATTTAGAATTGATCCGAACTTCCAAAATCCAAAGGAATGAAAGTGAGAAAGGGGTTTCATCAAAATACATTTGGCTAAAATCAGGCTTAGAAAATCCCAAGGGTGAATTTTCTGAATGCGATGTACTAGTAGAGTATCTGTATACTGTAGTTGTCATTGTCAGACATTATGGTGTGTACATTGACACAGGTTTACATCAGAGCAACATTCCAGTGGTACTCCAAGGCTTTGAGGCTTATCGATTCGATTGATACAGGTGCAGTGCAAAACACCAGAAAACCCAGCAGTAACTGAGTACACACATGCACACAACACACGAGCAAACCTACCGTATTTCCCTGAACATAAGTCACACCTTTTTATACTAAAATTCAAGGGCAGAAAAGGAGTCGTGACTTACAATCGAGCATGACTTAGTACTGAAGTGAATTTATCAAAGCAATATTGCTCAAACCTGAAAATGGGCGTTCGACTTATAATCGGGGAAATACGATAGGTACCCACCAGCAATGCTTTGCAGCAGGTCGGGTCCTCATTTGCCGCCGTCCAGTGCAAAGGAGTCTTGCCCTCCACGTCCGACACAGTCAAGTCAGCCTCCTGCAGTATGCGGTGCAACACACACATACAGGCAAGTGGCGCATCATTGGGAATAGAGTGGGTCATTGCGCTTCCATAATTATGGTGTTTAGTTTCCTGCTATGATCCACCGCAAGCAAGGTACCAAGGAGAGATACTGTGTGCAATCTTGATGGGATGAAAACTATGCATGACTTAGAGTGGCTGCAGTAAACACCCTATGGTGTGTGGATCATGCTGTCATAGGCATGCTTCGTCACCAATGAGTGCTGACTGCTTGCATGCACAGTGGCCAAATACTAAACATTTCCTCCTAAGTTTGAGGGAGTCGATAATGGGAAACGTCTGAAGAAGAAAATTTTACTGTCGCTACAAGGACTCGAACCAGGGACCCTGGCTTATGACTAGCAATGCTCTACCACTGAGCAATGGAGTAGTCGTCATCCCAGCAGCGACCGTTAAATGTTTCCTGGCGTAAAATACCAAATAATGTATCTCCTGGGTACTTACATTGCGAAACAGTAACTTCACCGCTTCAATGTTGCCGTGGAAGGCCGCCCAATGCATTGGTGTCATCTACAGGCAACATTGGTAGCAAACCACAAGGGAAAAGAATGCAAACTTGTGGTTAGATTATCGGCTTGGCAAGGACGAAAGATTTCTGGTCCCTTGAGCTTGCAATACCTATTTGTGTAAGGTGCTGATCTCAAGATGAGGGTCTGCCACTATGGTTCTGAAGGTTTGGAAGTTGTCCAGTGACAGCCCACACAGCCTTCCACTATACATGCATACGCACGCAATAATTTTCCAGTCCATGTATTGATGTTAGTTATCAACATGTGTCATTGTAAATATCTAACTCGGTCCAATGCCATATGCAGTGCTTTTACAATGTAAGGATGGTTTGCTTTGCTCTGTCAATCTCACATTCTTGTACAGTATATCACAATTTGTTGCTCACCTTTTCATTGTCCCCCTCGTTGACATCGGCTGCCTTTGATCGGCGCAATAACTCCTTCAAACACTGCAACAACAGCAACAGTAACACGAGCAGCAGCAGCAGCAGCAGCAGGCGTTCAAAAATGCACAGGGGTACGGCCACATGGGGTACGCCTGATACTTGGATATCAGAACTTTTCAATTGAATTCAGGACTCCTCCATGGAATGATACTGCAACATCACAACAAACACGGCGTGCAACAAAAGCAAGTACTCCAAGTTCATGCTATCCATAATTTTCTCGTGATTTCACCTTTCCGGACTTGTGGCTTGTTGCGAGGTGCAATGGAGATCTACATATTAGTGACAAGATACAAATACCGAGAAAGGATTAGAAGAAGTGCCTCAATCACCTTTTATCAAAACAATGACTGCACAGCATACTTTTTATTATTTATTTTTTGCACATGAATTGAGCATGTGTTCCAAATACATGTACATGTAGATGCAAAACAATAAAGGCTTGGGTACGCGTGCGCACGCAGTTCGCCATTTTCAGCGCCGTGGCCATGCGTCTGCGAGGCTCCCGTCGCCGTCTTATGGGACTCTCCGTACATGATGGTGCCGGTGTTGGAATCGGTCATTGAGTCATGTTCTCGTTCTGGATTTCTGGATTTCCTCTCTTTCTGTGGCTCTCCCATCCATTACCTTTTTCTTTCCGTTGTTTTTCTCAGTTCTAATTCTATTATACCTTTTCATTGATGGTCCTTTATCACTGTCTTTTTCTCGCAAAAAAATACCGTACTGCGCACTGCTGCATGCATGCAGATCGCAAAAAAATAAAAATAAAATAAATAAATTTTTGCTTTGTTTTTGTTTACAGCCATGGCTGGCTACCGCCCCCCTCCCTCCATATTGGCCTATATTCTCTGGCCACGGGAAGGTGAAATAAATAAATAAATAATAAATAAATAAAACCAATGAACAATAACTTAAAGGGGAAGTTAAGGCAAAAATCAAAATTTCACCAGTTGTAGTCTTCGGGGTGCTGAGTCGAATGGTCGTGGTCCGAGGAAGCTGAGACGCTCCCTTCCTACTTGAATCCCAATCGAACTCGCGCACTTCCACCGAAACTGGGTGACTGCGCCCTACGAGATGGGGATTTGTATGCAAAATGTCACTAAAAGCGCCATTTCGTTCTTATAAAAGCACGGATGACCGCGATTGGCCCATATGTTGTAGTCTTTTGCACGCTGAGTCGACTGGTTTTGGTCCGAAAAGGCTGCGATGTAGCGTTCCTCCTTTATTCCCAATCGAACATGGTTGAACAAGCGGTCACGTGCTCCTGCGTACACCAGTCACCTGGTCACCGTGCCTGCAGGGTACAACTTACTAGCCTGTTTGACCTTTTTTGGGTGCACTCCTGTCACTCGAGTTGAACTCGAGTTGAACCTTGGTGTGAAATTTGTCGCCTGCTGGCGTGGTGACCAGGTGATTTGGGCACCCAGGAGCACGTGACCGCTTCTTCAACCATGTTCGATTGGGAATAAAGGAGGAACGCTGCATCGCAGCCTTTTCGGACCAAAACCAGTCGACTCAGCGTCCAAAAGACTACAAGATATGGGCCAATCGCGGTCGTCCGTGCTTTTATAAGAACGAAATGGCGCTTTTAGTGACATTTTGCATACAAATCCCCATCTAGTAGGGCGCAGTCACCCAGTTTCGGTGGAAGTGCGCGAGTTCGATTGGGATTCAAGTAGGAAGGGAGCGTCTCAGCTTTCTCGGACCAAGACTATTCGACTCAGCACCCCGAAGACTACAACTGGTGAAATTTTAATTTTTGCCTTAACTTCCCCTTTAAGGTCTGGTAGCATACATATAAAAAGTTATAATTAGTATGCTTATACATGTACTTAGCTAGTCTGATCCAAAAAAGGGAGTGTCGTGAATATGCATGACGAATCCGCTTCACTTTTATTGTTATGTCTTTATTTGTTTATGTGTTACATCATGTTGACGTCATGCTGATGTCTTGCTGCACGCATCGCATGCACCGTTTTGCAGCTCTCAGGCCAGAGCCTGTGCAGTCCTTTTTTGGCTGCCTTTTCCCTTTTGCATGCTTCACTTGTCTCAACTTGTCTCAAATAATGTTTTCTGGTGACACTCCTTTTCAAGTCACCTAATCCTTTCAAGTAACAAGTGCAATGTCGTTCCGTGAACCGGAACCCCTCCATATTTGAGTTACCAAGACGTATTTGTGCGTGGCTATACAAGCTCTCCCACTCAACAGTTCAAAGTTGCGCACAAGTGTATGCATGTATACCGGTTTATATATGGGCTACCGGGAAAAAGAAACTGGTTGCTAGCAAAAAGTGTTTCTGCTCGGGTTCGAACCGAGGACCTTGTGCGTGTGAAGCACACGTGATAACCACTACACTACAGAAACAGATGACGATGTTCATCACGACTTATCATGATATCATTATGTATTTCAGTAGGGACTGAATAGCCTCTGATAGGGCTGAGGAGTTGCTGGTAATCCTGAACTACAGGGCCTGATTTGCTGATTGGTTTGTTTTACTAGTTTCGTGTGGTTTCAGGCCTGGCCGTGGCACTGCCGATGTGGTGTGGACACAGCGCTGGATTTCGGCTAAGGCCACCCACTTCGTGTGGGATTGCCACGTCCTTGGCCTCGACATGTCGAAAGCATTCGACACCATTAGCCGCACAAAGCTCCTTGCTGTTATGTCAGAGATTACCGGACCTGACGAGGCTTGCCTGATTCACCATTTGCTGTATGGTACAACACTCTCTGTGAAAGTGGGTGCCACTTCAGCGGAGGCGTTTGTTAGCACGCTAGGTACACCACAGGGTGATGGGCTGAGCCCGGTTCTGTTTGTTTGCTACCTGGAAGCAGCACTGAGGGAGACTCGAAGCAAACTACCACCACGGCCAGACACTGATGCAGCAATACCACAGGAAACAGGATATGCCGATGACATTTCCTTCTATTCGACTGAGCGACAATGGCTTGCCAACTCCCTACCCTTGATAGCTGACGGCCTGGGTGACTGGTCACTCAACGTTAACAGCAGCAAAACAGAGTGGCTTCACATCTCTGCCTCCACCACCGAATGGCGAAGATCGAAGCAACTTGGCTCTCTCTTGGGGGAAGAGGAGGACTTGAGCCGACGAATGGACCAAGCATCAACATCGTATGGCCGCATGTATTCGCTCTGGATACGACGTCAACTTGTATCCGAGGAAACCAGGCTTCGTCTCTACAATGCCATCGTCCTACCAACACTGTTATACAACTGCGAAACCTGGGGACTGACAGAGGCTGCACTGGAGAAGCTGAACGCCTTCCATAGACGTCAACTACGGAACTTGTTCGGAACTAGGTATCCCGCCATCATCTCCAACAAAGACCTATATTCCAGAGCACACACACAGCCACTTTCGCACACCGTTGCTGTCCGCCGTTTCCGGATGTGTTCTGAGGATGCCCTCAGATGCCCCGCCACAGCAGGCAATGGACAACTACTTCCGTCGAGATGTCACCGGTGTGCGTGGACGCCCGAAATCGAACCTGGCCACGGCAGTCAAGGCAAGCACAGCTGCCAGAGACATGCCACTGAAGACCATGACTGATCTGAGTGGGCTCAGAATGCGCGCTTTGGACAAGCAATCATGGAGGGAACTCTCAGCCTGAGCTGGTTTTGCTCGCGGCTGCAACGCACGGGGTAGTGAACCCAGGACAGAAGCGGACCAGGCATCATGACTTTGCACATCTATCGTTATGCTGCTTCATTACGCGACCTGTTTTATTATTTAAAATCTTGTAGGACGCATCACGCAGCTTCATAAGTAAAAAATTGGTTGTGAGCAACACTGGCTCACACTCAAATAACTGCTTTTCACCAGAAAAATACTATATTTCAACGTTTCGGTCATGAAATAACCATCATCAGGAATGAAGTGGGCACACCGGTTAGGAAGGGTTAATATATGAGGAGCGCTGCGAACTGATAACAAATCACACCTGCATGCACTATGACGAGAGAGAGAACAAAAGGACAAAACATCACCAAAAAAAAAAAAAAAAAAAAAAAACCAGGTATAGAAATAACGCAATACGCGACAACTCTAAATATGGCACAGGTACAAGCAACAAACAGAATGTACAATGTACATGTGCACTAGGAGCATGCAGACATGTAATTGCAGGCGCTAGCAACAACAGTAGTAGTAACAGTGCACTAGTGCAAGGGGTGCAAAAACCACCACTATCCAGGAAGAGCGAGTATCAGGGCCAGAAATATGTACAAGGCGGTACTTCACCAGAGAATTCACAGGAGGTCCCACCCTGCGTTATTGTTTATGCTGGGGCTCGTGTCGCGAATTTGTATTGCTTCGCGTATTCTTCTCCTGGCCCGATCCGACTCAGTGGCAAGGACGCGAACCTCTGTGAATGCCGACTCGCCAAGCGGCAGTACCTCGCCGCCATGGTGAAGTCGGTAGTGCTCGCCCAGGGCTTTTCCAGACGTCTTGTTGCGTGAGTTATCATTGTGTTCTTTTGTTCGCGTTGCTACACTACGGCCAGTCTCTCCAACATACTTCTCCGAGCACTTGCAGGTCAGACGATAAACCACGTTGCGTCTTGTGCATTCTACCTCGCTCGATTGGCATGCAACGCAGGCGGCTTTAGGCCTTCCTCGTCGCCTCGGGGCAGCGGGATCCACCCACTTACGGCAGCAAGGTCCAGTGAGGCTGGACTTAGTGACGCTGTTGGAAAGCCTTGCATTCTTGTAGATTATCTGTACATTTAGATTGTATTTGTTTAGAAGACGGTGGACCCTGTAGTGGATGGCATCCGTTTTGAATGGTAACTTCAACGTGGATCGATAGTCTTTCTTTTGTTTAGCAGGTCGTCTGGCTCGTTCATGAGCAGTCGCGATAACTTTGTCAGGAAAGTTGTTGAATTTTAATGTGTCAATAACCTTTTGCTCACTTCGCTGGCGGGCTGCAGGATCAGAGGAAAGGCGGGCCGCGCGGAGGAATTCCGAAGACGCGATGGCGAGTTTTTTGGTGATGTTTTGTCCTTTTGTTCTCTCTCTCGTCATAGTGCATGCAGGTGTGATTTGTTATCAGTTCGCAGCGCTCCTCATATATTAACCCATCCTAACCGGTGTGCCCACTTCATTCCTGATGATGGTTATTTCATGACCGAAACGTTGAAATATAGTATTTTTCTGGTGAAAAGCAGTTATTTGAGTGTGAGCCAGTGTTGCTCACAACCAATTTTTTGTTTTATTATTATTATTATTATTATTGTTTTACTAGGGAGGTT